TTTGGCTGCACCGCGAGGCATTATCGCTCGCGCTTATCCGCCGCGAATATATGTCTCGCGCCCTTCGCCTCGCCCCCGCCCTCGCCCCATGGCGTCGGTGACTGTACGTGTCGTCGTTATTGACAAGTAGACAGGGTGTATCGGAGCCTCGCGCTCGCTATCTACCCCGACAAAGTCGCCCACGCGGCGGAGTTTGAAAATTCCACGATATTCCGAACACAGGCGGGATCCACTCTCGCTGTTCTATTTTGTGTTTGTAGAAAAAAAACAAATAAAAAACAAAACAATAAATCACTCGAGATACTCTGTTATCTTCTGACATACGCGAGCTGATCGAAATTGCAAGTTCGCTCACGTAATCCACATAATCGTCGGAATCCGCGAAATTTTTCCGCTTTTCGCTTTTGTCGATTGCGAGAAAATCTTCCATCTCCCAGACTTTAAGCATTAAGGGAAAATTTATTAATTCACCGTCGACGAAAAAAAATGAGAGAGAAAAAGAGAGAGACGAAACGCCGCTGAACGCATTTCGGTTTTTTTTTTTTTTATTCAATCTTGAGTACGATTTATATTTGTACATATTGCGCTCGTGTTTTTTATCTCGTGGAATTTACGGAAGGGTAAATATCTTTCTATGCGAATGTTTAGCAGAAGAGTGGATAATATTTTCCCAACGGATGTGAAATGCCTCTTTAGCTCAGGGGCAGAGCACTGGTCTCGTAAACCAGGGGTCGTGAGTTCAATTCTCACAGGAGGCAATTCTTTTTGTCGCTAGAAGGTAACGAATCTTCGAGCACTTTTATTCTGTCGTATAATAGGCGAAAAAACGGCTTTTGAAATGATCGGTCATTTTATCAAACACGCTGTCTTATTAATGATTATTGGTAAAATTTCACGATCATTGAATTATATCCTAATTGGAATAAACAATAAACGCACGCAGTGTATTAAATCTTGTAAAAATTTTTTTTTAAATTCCCGAATTTTTCAGATACTTTTATTTAAAGTAAAATTGAAAAATTCTTAAATATAATATTTGTGTGTGAAATAAATATTAATTTTATTGCTTTGTAATATTTTCTATTCACGAGGGAAAGAAATTTAAAACTTGAATATTAATGCTCTGGAAAGAGCAAAATTTAAATTTAAAGAAAAAATTAGAAAGAATGTTTCCGAAAAGTTCCTTAAAACTTTCAGATTTTTTCAATAATAAAAAATAAATTCCTTGGAAAATTCCCGGATTTTTCGGTTATTTTTCTCAATTCCAACAAATTTATTGTATGATAAAACGAGATGATTTTCCCCATTGTGACTATCCTCTTCAGATCGAGGCGCGTGACCCGAACAATAAGCTGCATTAATGCTTTATTCCAGTTAGAGTAGTAACATAGAGTATAGTTTAATGCTCATAAAGAATTCTTCGGATACTCACACGTAAAGGTCGCTTATGAAAAGTTTGAGGTTTATCAATAATAAAATGAGACTGAAGCTTTTTGTGTATACGCCCACGGTGTCGATGGCACGGGCGTGCCCACGCCAAATTGTTATCCCGATCGACTAAATCCTTCCATCGGGGCGGAATTCGCGAGGAGGCGAATTTGGCGACGGTAAATCAAACCGTCCCTCGGCTCTTGAATCTATTATGGAGTCGATTATTGGACATGGGCGCAAATCGGTGGGAATTATTGACGACGTATGGGTGGACTCGTCTTCCCCGACACACCAGCCGGTATTTGCTTTATTGTCGGGGCCACTTTTCCAGTGAGTGGGGCGGCGTAGGTGTTGGACGTGCGATCGCGAGCGGAGAACGGAGGCCGTACGCGCGCGACGTTGAATGCCAGGTGAGATTGGAGAGACCCGTCGGTGTCGTTCAGGTGTCCCTCTTTTGTGAGACGGGACACATCCATCCATTTCCCATCTCGCGGCTTTCACGCCGTCAATCGCGATATCGAAATTCGAACTCGTCCGGCCTTTTGTATACCGCCGGCGAACATCGCGCGCGCGACCACTCCGAGGCCGACCTATTCATCGCGCGTTGAAAAAGCCTCGCATTTCTTTGCTTCTCACATGTAGGTATTCTTCCTCTCTCCCTCTTCCGTCAGAGCGATAGATACAATTGCGCGGCATTATGTTACACTGCAAAATACCGTATATCCGCCGCAAAATTGCTCGCCGTTCTCCAACGGCGGTCGGGGGTGATGATCCCCCCCCCCGGGAGGGTGGATTCTCTGTAATAGAGTTTAATCGGCGTCGACGGCCGAATGCAATTGTTGTGTTCCGAATCGCTTGGCTGCTGGTATTGTTCGAAATAACAGAACGGCACGACAGAGAGACCACGTCTCTTTCCGATAGACAATCCCGGTGCGGGAAATTATTTTCCCCTCGAGCGCTCGTAAAGCACTCGTGACTAGCATGCCGATGAGGACATTGTTACTCGCGACGTAATCACGCGAATCGCATCTTGTATCCCGAGAGATCGGGCGGTCGCTTCTCGTAGGTAGACGATGAAAGCGAGGGATAATGACGGCGGAGTTAATGGACTTCCCTTGTCGACGCGACGCGCGAATATTCATTCTTTCTAATGGCGAGCAAGTCGAGGCGAATCGCAGAACGAAAAAAGGGCATGTCTCGTCCTTTGCGCCGCCTTTTCCGGCGCGTCCTTCGCCGGCGTGCGTCAATTAATCATTCTCGTCAGTTAACTCGGTCGATTAATCATCGCGCGATGCCCCGTGACTAATCATTCCCGTGTCCATCGAGTCACCTCTACATTCCCCTCGGGCTTTCGAAATTGACCAACGTGAGGATGGTCCGGAATATCGGCCATTGGCTAGATCGGCAGATCGTTACAGCGGAGCGTGCCCGCGTTTCTACAAGCTCGAGGGGAAAATTACTCCGGATTAGACCAAATTGAGTTTTCTCGACTTTGAGAAAATTAATTTTCCTCGGAGCACTTGAAAAGCGTAACGGTCCGCCCACCCCTCCTCGGCATCCCTCCCCACGATCTTCCTTTCCAGCTGGGGAACGGAGGCTCCGCGCTCGGACCGGGACGATCTTAATCCATCAGCAGTCTATATTGTTATTATATCGCACCGCTCCCGTGGCATTGGACACGCCTGAGGATGTCGGAGATATTTAGGCATGCACTTTCAACTAGGTCAGACACGACGCGCGTGTACGCTCCACTTCATTCATTTGGAACGCAGGGCTCGAACGCGAGAGCTCGCGGCAATTCTTGGATGCACGCGGATCGAGAAATCCGATATCACCCATCGCTCGATGCGCGATATTATCCCTCGTGCTGATAAAAATACGAGAATTTTTCAGAACCGTGAACGTGACCCGCGTAATGATCCGCCGGACGATTAATTCAGTTCGCGTTACCAGATAACAATGCCGGTAATTATTGCCGGCATCATCCCTAACTGAAGCACGCGAAAGCTATTTTTACCATGTTAACTTATAGTATACACGGAAAGAAACGTCGAAAAAATGATGATGGTTCCGGCAAAAAGTATCGCGAAACTGTGTGACCTTTCAGAAAAATTATATTACTCGTTTCCATTTCCTTGAAAGTTCTCCGAATAAGATGGGAATGTAATGATAAATGCAGTACTATACGGATTAGTGTCATAGTACTTTTATACGAAGTATACCACGTCAATAAATCGCGTTGGAAAATGTAACTGAAAATGTCACGATTTACGCTCGCGATATATTTTCCATTGGCGATGTCGAAATCTATTTGCACTTGAATGAAATGACGAATGAAAATGCAGAGAGAGGGTAAATGAACCTTATCATTTAGTTTGAGTACCGAAGATACCTCTCGTCAATATTTTAAAGATATTAAGAGAGCGAAGGGAAAAGTGAGAGCGGCCTGATCGAGAGCAAAAGCCATTACTCCTCGTTCCTCCTTTTCACCTTCGTCATCCTCGTATTGCGCGACAAAAAAATGGGCTACGTTCCTGGGGACGGTCCCCGCCTATCCCAACCCCTGAGTATATACCGTGCCATACATATTTTATGAACAAACATAGCCTCCAGTGACGGCATAAGCCGAGAGAGAGAGAGAGAGAGAAGAGAGAGAGAGAGAGAGAGAGAGAGAGAGAGAGAGAGAGAGAGAGAGAGAGAGAGAGAGAGAGAGAGAGAGAGAGGAGGGAGAGAGAGAGAGAGGGATACACGTCACGCAATTCCGGCGCGTGCGAGCGATGAGAAAATGAGGCCGCTGTGAAAGCTCTGAATTCTCAATATTGTGTACTGGATATGTTGCTGCCTGCTTGTGCGCCGCGCTCGCGAACGCCGCCGTGACCTTCTGACCTGGAAATCCATTCCATCCTGA